TGTGGGACTTCTTCTCCTAGTGTCAAAATATGAGATCATTTAAGTCACAGAAGCTGAATCATCACAGCCATCTTCTGAATCTGCAGGCAGCCATTCTTAGCTATCCCCTGAGTCTCAGATTCCTTCGAGGCACTTCACCCAGAGGGAATTCGTCTAGGTACCCAGCTTTGCACGTTACCTTAGGAAGGGCACAGCTTACCGCTGCCCCCACGGGAAGAGATCACACTTCTTAGCGTGGTGGCTTGAGAAAAGGACCTGCATGGTTTAGTTTCACATGTACTAAACACTTTTTCCTCCTCTGGAGCAATATCTAAGCTCTACTCTAACCTCACTCTGCAGCAAAGTCTCGGCAGACACCTTCGAGTTCCGAGTCCCTGTGAAATGATTCCAAATGTAAAACAACTCTCAGATACTACGTTTAGTCATTTATTTGTTTCATTATTCTAGTATCTTTGGTTTGTGAAAAATAAAAGTCACGTTAACGCGAAGCTATGCATTGAAGAATAGATACAGGTAGATAAAGTTTCTTAGGGAGAAGCAGTGGATGGTAATAGATTATCGAGTCTGCTCTGGAAATATAAGGCATTTTCATTTAATAGGTAAAACCTTTGCAGTTTTAGAGAATTTTGACAGACTAAGGCTATGCTATTTCCATTTAAAATGGAAATGAAAACACTTTTACCTACATGAAAGTAACTGCCTTTTATTTTTCACTAAATTTCAAGTGCAGCAGGCCAGGATGCACCGTGTGGAACTGTTCTGAGACCATGTTGGAGGCGGTGTGCTAGGCTCTCTGCAAACGCTGCCTCTGCACCTCAGTTTCCTCAGCTGAACCACAATAACGATCTCTAGTCCCCCTGGTGCTGCTTTGAAAGACAGAGAAGCCAAGAACCAGGTCTAATTCTTGAACCTATTGTTCATGCAGTTGTTTTTAAGTTGTCTGTCATTTACTCATTGAGAGGAAACTTTATCTGAATTCCATCTTCCTCTATATTCATCATAGTTTGTATTCTTTTCTTTTAGGAGCTAGAAATAAGGCTAAGCATTTGAAACTGATTATTCTGTAGAGATAAATTCTTGGTATTTTTCAAAATTAGGCAATCCAGAAGCAAACAATTTCTTGATTTTTCTGAATCCAAAATCTTTGCAGTAAATGCCGATTTGATTTGCCCCCCTCGACTTCCTGGTTTATCCCCTTCCTACTTTCTATGTGTTCCAGTCTCGCTGACCACTTTTGTGTTTCTTTGTGAGGCAGGCTTCTTCCTACTTTAGGATCTGGGCTGCTGTCCTTTCGATTCTTTGCTCGGGTAATTGTGTCTCTTGTTTAATCTGCCTGTTCAAATTCTGCTTACTTGAAGAGATATGTGGGGCTACCCCCCCTCCTATCACAGACGTCTCGCCTTATTGTATTGGCTTCCTGAAGAAGATACGACTATCTGAAGTTACGATTTTCACAAGGGTATTACCTGTCTTCTTCCTCTAAAATGTAATTTGCTTGAGAAAAAAATACCTGGTTGGGAAGTCAGTGACAACAGTTCCATACTAGATGTCAGTAACGGCATGTTGAATGGATGAATGGACTTTTGTTTCACAGTGAGATTACAGGAGGAAAACCAGAGATTTTGACCTGTGATTCCAAACTAGGGATTTGTTCACAGTAGTGAATATTACATAAGAATTAGCAAAATTCCAGGCACATAGCTGATTAGATATTTCAACTGTTTTATATAATTTAATCCCTACCACTCTATAAAGTAGGTATTATTATTAATCCCAATGTACTGATGCACAAGTTGTAGTCCACGGAGGTCAAAGTGGACCAGGCTTCACAAGTCAGCGATGTGCAAGCAGGTGGTTGAGCCAATGCGCTTTACTCCCAAATAGAAAGTGTTCAGTAACTACAGCTGTAGCCGTGCACTCAGCACTGAGCTCAGTTCTTCCTATGCCTATGTCATTCCATCCTGTATTCAGTGAGGTAAGCGCTGTTCTTATGCTTGTTCTGCACATGAGGAGGCTGAGACTTGGAAAACTTTGGCAACACATCTAAAGTGTAAGCTCTACGGAGCTGCTTAGAGATGGACAACAAATTTAAATGTAGACAAATGTGACTCTAAAATCCATAATCTTATACATCCTCTCCGCAATACAAGAGCACGTTATATTTCTATGTTAGCACAGTCATTCTGAGGTTTGTGAAGGAGGGCTTAGTCTCTCATTCAAAGTGTCTCCAACGGTGTGAAGAAGGTGTATCCAGTGACCTTCCCTCTGAAGACCACTGTCCTTGTGTCTCATAGGTTCCCATGAGTCATGTAGGCATCGTCATTTGCCTCTGTAACTTATTTAATTTCTTCCTTGATTTCTCCTATGACTCACTGGGTATTCAGGAGTGTCTTATTAAGTTTCCAGGTGTTTCTAAACTTTCTGTGTTTTTTTTTTTCAGTACTTCATTTCTTTTTTTGTTGCACAGTGTTCCAATAGTAAATACTGAATGATTTTGATTCTTTTATATTTATTTAAGCAGGGTTTGTGGAAGTGTGTGATCTCTTTTGGAGAAAGTTCCATGTGCTGCAGAGAAGAATGAATACTCTCTTGCAGTGGGGTAGACCACTGTAGCTATCCAAGATGTTTGTAGGAAATGGATACATTTGGAAATATAATGTTAAGTGAAATAAATCAGACACACAAGCTTAAATGCCATATGGTATCTCTCATTTGAGTCATCCAAAGTACACATAAAGAGCAAAGTAAAGGATTGATAGAAGGAAACAAGGGGGTAGAGCTTTTGTAAATGGGAAGGGTCCAGGAGAAGGAGGGTGGGGGAGGGGACCAGGGTAAGGGGAGTAGACATTAAAGATGTCACTTACACGTACTAAATACCCACACTGAGTGTAAACATTGTATGTCATAAACAGGAACTAAAAATAGCACTAACAAAAGAATGAAAGTGGGGAAGGAGGATTTAGAAAAAGGAGGAGGAAGGATGGTGGGAAGATGCAGGGGATTAAAGCTGTGCTATGTACACGCACCTGCTCCCTAAAGTGAGCGTGCAGTTCATGTAATGCAAACATGTACCGATAAAATGAAAGATTAAATTTTCAAAAAGGTATATCTATTTCTTAGCTACAGATTTATGACTACAGAACAGACCAACTTAGAGAAATGAAGAGGGAAAGCAGAATGTTTATCAATATAGCCAACCAGGGCTGGGGATTTAGCTCAGCGGCAAAAGCGCCTGCCTGGCAAACACAAGGTCGTGAGTTCGGTTCCTGGTACCGGAGAAAAACCAAAAAACAAAACAAAACAAAACAAAAAAATATAGCCAACCAATGTTCAGGGGTAATATAGCTGGTTAATGTCTATTTCTTCCAAAAGAACGTAAGAGTAAAATTTAGAAATTCAATACTTGTGAAAGGTCAATTTTGGGATCTAAAATGAACTAGAAAGGATTGTGTATTTTAAAATATAGTTAGGTCCAAATGTGGACTGATATAAAGTTCAGTGTATAAAGTTTAGCACTGTTGTGTTGATTTGAAATTTGCCCAACAGGTGTTTTATTTTGTTTTGTTTTGTTTACACTGAGCACATCCACAGTGACTCAGCTCTATCTCTGCAAGGCAGAGCTGTCATCTGCAAGAATGGTGTGAGGCTGTGGCTATATTTTACTTACTATTCATCTGTGTCTGCTTAGGTTTGCATCATTGGTCACATGTGCAGAATTAATGTATCCACATGTATTGTTACCTGGCTTCAAACAAAACATTCATATGAGGACTCATGTGTACACATACAAAGATTAAACCTTTCATCTTTAAAAATTTCCCTAAGTCATTGAGACCAGTTGGTTCAGCAAAAAGAAAATGAGTTCAGCCAATATTACTGACTTCTACTATTACAGTATTTTCACAGAACTCATATTACAAGTGCTTTTATTTATACAATCTTATATGATCCTATCTGAGCCTGTATTTGATGTTTACAATTACCCATATGTGTAGGCAGCCCAGATATTATTAAGCCACTTTACAGATGAGAAAATTGAGGTTAATAGAGTTTAAAGAGCTTGCCCAGGGTCAAGTAGCTAATAAATAGCAGAGCCAACGCCTGAACCGAAGTCTTTGGACTACAAGTTACACCTTTTTCTGCTGCCCACACCTCTTCCTTGTCACAGAGAACCAGTCAGTGGTGATTCCAAATTTTCTTTCTACCAGGTTGGCTTCTGGAGATTGGTGTTATGGGCCTAAGACGTCATGTTCTTTTACCCAGTGCTTATGCACGTTTGTTCTTCAGTGGGTTTCCGCTCTGCCTGCTTAAGGTCCATGAAAGTAGTGAGTAGTACTTGTGGGCCAGGACTAGCATTATGTTTTTTAGCATCTCAGACTTTTGTTCTGTTTCCTGTAGAATCTCTTGACTGCTTCTCCCTTCACCCAGAAGCAGGTGGGGCTGGCATTTCACAGTGACTCATATTTCTCTGTGTGTGTGTGCTCTGGGATCTAGAAAATATTTTATTTCCCAGACTCTCTCTTTTTCGTCATTGTCCTTTTCGCTGTCCCCATTTTTATGGTTTCTTTCAGGTAGAGAAAGAGCTAGAAAGTTTCTCAAGCATAACTGTTTGCTTAGGGAGAGGATTTGACAGGTAGGTGACCCAGGGACTTCAGCAGAGCACACCTAGAATATGGCTTGTGTAAGATATCAGGTATTTAGCAGAGTCAGCCAGCAGCCTGAGGCACTGGTGGAGCGGGGTGGAGCCGGGACAGTATGGGCTGCTGTGCAAGAGCATGAAGTGTCCTGTTGGAACCCAGCTGGCTGGTGCCGGGGCCTGGCTACTGTGGAAGGTAATAATTATTTGCTTTCATCTGATCAAAAAGATGCTTACTTCGTACCAGCCCCAAATAGTAGGTTAAATAAAAATATGAATAATTGAGCTTTTCAGACAGAGACAAAGCATTCCCATTGATATGTAAAACAGAAATAAGCTGACCCAGTCTATCTTTTCATCTTAGGCATATGAGTTTGGCCTGTCCAGTCCATGAGATCACAATGCTACGACTCTGTCATGCTCTGGCGGTGGCTCTCCTCCAGATCTTTATCTTCTCAGAGAATCAGGCATTTGCCAAGAACATCAACTTCTACAATGTGAGGCCTCCTCTTGACCGTAAGTACTGGTTGCCATCCTGATTCACATCCTGGAGGTATAAGAGTGTGCATTTGATGCTCCCTTTCCAACTACCATAGTGTGGTCTTTTTCTGGAATATCGGGCTTATACCTAGAGTAAAACAGCAGCTTTCTCACTTCAGTGGGGAAGGGTGTGGTGACAGAAGTTTTATGGTCTGCCCTCCTGCTATGGTCTTCAGGGGCTTCTTGTTTTAAAAACTCTTTTGAGTGCTGACCCTAATCATGCCTGGGCAGAGGCAAGTCAGTCTTCGTCGACCTCTTCCTTGGAAGATGTTGGCTGTAGGAAGTTTCGGCATAAATGATGTGCTCACTCCTCCACATGGACGTTAACAGTGCTGAAAGCAGCTTAGAATGTCTGATGCTTGGAGGGCAGATGATGTAGATTTTCATTACGATCACCAATTAGCAAAAGTTGCATAAAGTTCATCCTTTTCATTACTAGTTTAAAAATAAGCAAATATTGGTGTATATTATCTCTAGGATAACATATGTTAATATGTTTTATACACATGTGTATATATCTGTGTCTATATACATATATATCATAAGCCCTTTCTCTTCAGACAAGAAAAACTTTTCTGATATATTTTGTTAAGGGAGAGACTTTTTATACGTAATAGATTTTGTATACGTAAATGACCATAGTTCCCATACCTGGAAGAATATCAAAATTATGATGAAAGTCTTTAAGTGACATATCTCCAAGCAACTTCTCCAAACATTCAATGATCAAGAGGGAAGATGTGGAATATGTTCTTTTTCATTTTTAAAAATCTCTCCTGTTACCGTTGACACATAACCAGGGGTGAGAATAGCTGTCTTTATTCTACTCCTAGAAGAGTTACATGTAATAACTGTTCTTTACTTCGTGTTCTCTATATTTTTCAGGACACTCAGTTATATCTCTCTGTGTATATACATATATGCTATACATGTATACATAATCATATGTGTACTGTATATACCTCAAACTATTGTCTATTATATATCCTTACACTGTTAATGACTGCATAATAGCTGAAACTCATGACAGGCAAGTTTTATGGACCCTAAATTATCTATATAGGTCCACTTTTTTTTTATTTTAAAGATAAAAGGAGGGAAACATTAACAGACATACAACATTTTACAACATATCACAAGCACAATACAGACAATACAGAGTTACAAACAAAGTGGTAGGGAATTAACAATGGTGGTTGTATTACATATTGATACCTTCAAAGTGGCTTCTCATGAAAACAGATATAGACATGCAATACTCGTCAACCAAAGACTCATTGACAGTTTCTTGCAGCATAGAAATAGAAGACAGAAGAACAACCATGTTAACTATCCTGTATATACATACATACAAAATTTCTCCTTTCTAGGTCCACTTTTGAAGTCTAGTAAATTTATGTTGAGAAAAATTCTTTCTTTTTCTTTTTTTTTTTGTTTTTTTCTGGTACCGGGAATTGAACTCACGACCTTGCGCATGCCGGGCAGGCACTGTGCTGCTGAGCTAAATCCCCAGCCCTGAACAATTCATTTTAAAAGAGAAAAATATAGTATATATTCATTATAGAAAATTGCAAAGAAATGAGAAATATATAGAAAGAAGTAAAATTTATTCATGATCCTAATATCCAAAGGAGCTCTCTTTTAAATTTGGGGGTATTTCAGTGTTTTTTCTATGTATGTATATTTAAATACATAATTTAGTGGGCTCACACAAACTTAGTTTTATATTAGTTTTTCACCATTTGTACTATACTTTGAATATTTTTTAATGTCTTTGAAAATATTTTAATATCTTTTAAATCTTTAAAACAATTATATGACTGGTCTGTAGCTTATTTAACCATATCCCCATATTTTATACCAGAAAAAAAATACAAGCAAGTTAAATGTTAAATTCATTGAAATTTTTATTGAAAATGTGCTTTTCCCTTTGATTTGCAATAATCTTTGAATAGACTTTCTGGAATTATAATTACTAGATCAAAACATTGTACCAGTTTATACTTTAGCCATTTATTCATCAGAACTGATTATTAGTTTTTTCATTCTGAACAGATTTAATAGGTAGAAATGGATGTCATTTATTTATTTACCTACCTAATATACTTTTATACGTAAGCCAAACAAATATATTTGCAGCATTGAATTTCACATCCTCTGAACATTAGATGTACTCTCTTGCTTAGTTTTAGCGCTCATACAGACCCGCCCTTGCCTCTGAAATATCCACTGCTCCTTCATTTTCACTCCAGTTTCTGCTTATGTTACTGGGATGGTTTGGCATTCACCTTGATCTTTGTCCATTATATTCTCCAGAACTGAGAGAATCGAAAGTTATACACACAGTCCTTTGGGCTGGTTATGCAGAAATGTCAAATTATTTTATTTTTATTTTCTTGTCTGCTAAAATATCAAGATACAAGGCTAAAAAACGCAAAAACCAAAAAATAAAAATGGCATAGAGACCAAAAGAACTAGTCCCTCTCAATCCAGACAGTTAGCAATTCAGAAGTTTTCCTTTCCATAATGCTTTGGCCTGAGTGTGAGGGATAAAGAATCACTGTCATCCTTATTTTAAATACTACAGTCCTGATCAAAGCCTAATGTTTGGACAACCGATATACATTAACAAGCATTAAATGAGATGACTTGTCTGAGGTTAGAGATAGCGGTAATGGGAACGTATTCAGATGAAAACTGGTGAGATTTGATGGGCAGTGGACCCTACTAGGTATTGTTCTGGCCTCACTGTACTCTGTACGTCATGAGGACCGCCGCTGAAAAACCACACACTGATTAGTGAAAAGGAGAACACACTCGCTCAGGTTACTCTGGACGATAGCTCATTTCCGGGTCGGCTACCGCCTTCACTTACTTCCTTCAAGCCCCACTTATCTCAGAATATAAATTATAGTGGAAAAATATCATAGGTTTTTCAGAGTGACTTGTGGCATCGTTTTTGTCACTCTGTATTAGAATTTCAGAGAACTACCTAAAGAAAAAGGGAATCAAGAAAATGCCCTAAAGCCCAAGGGGTAAATCCAGCTCCCTAAGAACAGAAATTATAATTTTGTGTCATATTATTGTTGGAAATGTTAATCTTTTTTAACCTTACTATTTTACTTCACATTTTTTCTTCAAAGCCACACCATTTCCAAACAGCTTCAAATGTTTTACCTGTGAAAATGCGGGGGATAACTATAACTGCAACCGATGGGCCGAAGACAAGTGGTGTCCACAAAGTAAGTGTGCCGCGTTGGAATGCCCCTTATGATCTCATAGCCATGTAGGTCTCTTCTGATGTGCCTGGAGCAGAGATGCCTTGTGGAGCAAACCCACAGGTGAATCGTGTTCTGTGGGAGTCAGAGATGTCTTCTAAGGGCTTAGCGAGACTTTAGACTCTCCTGGGAGATCGTGGAAACTAGTACTGTCGCCTCGGTTCATGATTGTGTATCTTGAGGAAGAATTTCTTAGATGGTATGTACTAAGGAGAACACATAGACCGCAGTGCTGAGTAAAGCATTCTGACAGTTTCAGAAATGCTTGATGATACCCTAGAGGAGTCCTACTTCCTGGCTTAAAGCTGAAGAAGATTCTGTGCTCTTCAGCCATGTTAGTGCTTGGGGAATTGTTCATCCACTTAGGAACATTTGAGTGTTTTTTTAGTTTGTTTAATTCACTAACCCAGTACTGGTTCATGTTAGGCATTTAATGAATATTTGTTGACAGAGTGAATGGAGGTCTTTGACTAGATGGTTAGGGACGTCTTTGGGTGTACATTAGAACTAAGGCTTGAGTGACCCAAACATGCCAGCCAGGCAGAGCGCTCTAGGAAGAATACGCCAGGAAAAGGGAAGAGCAAATGTAAAAGCTTTAAGGTGCAAGACTGACTCAGTCTCTTCAGTGATCAGGAACAAGATGGGGTCCTGTGTTCTAGTGGGGGTGGGCGAAGGGCCCGGAAGAGAAGCACACGCGGGGAGGGGTAGGTTCTTCTTTCCCTGAGGAAAAGCGGATTGCACTGGAAATGTGATGGAAGGGCAGTGGAGTTTTAAGCAAAGGAGTCAGTGATACTAACTGTGTTCTAAGTACTGCTCGGGCTGCTGTGAGCGGAGAATGGGTGGGTGGGGGCGAGTGGAAGGCGACTCTGGGTGGAGACGATCGGCGTCTTCAGGAAGAAGATGGGGACTCGGACCAAGTTGGTAGGAACAGAAAAGGCAGAAATTGAATGGTTAAAAATACATAAAATTGGGAACAAAACAGAGAGAGTGTGGTGACGTAAGATTCAGAGTTCAAAAACTATCTAGAGCTTTAAGGAGATCAGGCTGTTCGGAATTTAGGGTATACTATTTTGTTTTGTTTTTTAGATTTTTGGATGTAAAAAGCTAAGAAAAACAAACAGGAAAACAGACTCAGAATTAGAGATTACTAGTCTGTATCTACTCTCGCCTTGAAACTTGGGAAATTTCTATACTTATTCCCTGTTATTCATAGCAGTGAAATACATACCTGTTCCAAATAGAGAATCTGTGGGACCAGTGAGGATCACACATGGGAGACTTCTGAGAGGCCCGAGAAGCTGATGCCACAAATGAACACATCATGCTTATGCCATCTACGTGGTTATTTTCTTTCTTTTTAAGAATGATTGCCATTTGTGTTTCTTGAGGTTCTTTTGCGTGTCCATGGAGTAATTGCCCTTAGATGGTATATGTACCTGTGGGTGTGTGTGCTTGTGTGATTTTGTGTGTTTGTTTCTACATTTCCGCAGAAATTCATCTTAGCTATTTCAGAGTTTTCAAGGGTGGTTACTGCCTCTCGTTCCTAACTGATTTCAGAGGGTGGGTATTGTTCTCTAACAGTTTACTTCAAATCTCCCTAAAACATGAGTAGAAAGGTTAAAAGAGCTGTGAACTGGAGCACTGGCTCACAACATCGTAAGCCTTATCTTTGTAATTGTACCAGAAATTCTCTTCCTTCTAGGGCTGTGCCTAATACTCCAGTTTGTCATTCATAACCAAATCCTCTTTAACAAGCACACAAGGAACATGCAAAGCCCATTTCTGGGGTTTGAATGTTACGTCTTGATGGAAGCTGTAGCGTTCCACCACGAGACAGTATCAGAGGTAGAAAAAGTGGAAGAATAGCCTCTGCCATGTCCACCCTGAGAAGTCAACTCTCAAAGAGATCGGCGCAGTGACCCTGCATTTCCGCATGGTGTGACAGCTTACTCTTGACCATATGCCAGTCAAGTCCCAAAGAAACCAGAAGTCTGCAATGATTACTGAGGGTGGCATTTCCTACATTTCAATTTGTCATTATTTATGGGAGTGGTGGCCAACCATTTCTGGGGGTGAGCAGGCCCGAAGCTGTTCTTTGTCTTCTTCATCATCTCAGATTTCCTTTTCTCTTTCTAACGTCACTCCCGTGGTCTGTTGGCACTGTGAAAAGAAGCTGTCTATCTAACAGGACACGATAGGAATGATATTTCTTGTTTTATTTACAGTGTTTAGTGCTGAGTTGTTGTGGCTGCTTTCATGTATGTGATCTTCAAATGAATGCATGCACCTACCAGTTTTCAAGGCTTGGTTATTTGGAGTATAAGTTGAAACGCCTTCCCCAAAACATTCTGTGGCTCCCTTTCCTTCTGAATGGTCACTATTTTGTAGCACATTTTGCAGCACCGTCTAGTTTAACATTAAGTACCCTGGGAGGCAGCATAATTTCTGATTAAGAGCACATACTCCAGGAAAGTATCAGTTAGAACCCTACCTCCTGTCTACACGACCTTTCTGCCTGTGTTGCCATGAGCTAGAAATATGCCTCAACTTCTTTATCTGCAAGTGAGGATGGTAGTGCGGGCTATCTTAAGGCTTACGGTGAGGATTAAATGAGGGAACATGAGTCAGAAGGGTGTCCGGCTGATGGCACAGACCCAGTATGTGTTTGCTTTTCTGTACATTGTGAAATGCTTACCATAACCCTATCGAGATGCAAACACACTTACTATCATTATTTCATCCAAAGAACCGTGAGCCCAAAGCATCTAACAAGGCTGACTCACTGTGACAGAGGGGGTTCTATAAGCCCGGTCTTGTCAACTTCAGTTCAACTTCTTCGTTTTCCTCAATCAAGTGACATTCCTTTTGTGGGCCCTGATCAATAAACTAAAAAGCATTTCATTGGCCTTGGATAGCTATAGACACAGAACCGAAGCAGAATATCCTAGGATGTTGAATCTTAGAAGAACCTCAAGTAATAGCATACGTATGGTTAAAGGTGTAATGATAGCTTCATGTAGCTATGACAGTGACATTGTGTGATTGAAACATACAGTTAATGTTCAAATTTTTAAAAATCATTACAGTAAAGGACACATTGCCATTAATCCCTCGCTCAAAATACTCCCCTTGCTTTGAGCAGATTTATTTCATCATTCTTGCCACTTTCTGAAGCAGCTCTGGAAGTCCTCTTCAGTGAGCGTCTTTGGTTGTGTTGCCTTGGTGTCTAGAATAGATTCGAAAGATTTAACCTTCATAGTCATTTTGACTTTGAGGAGGAGGCAGAAGCTGCAAGGGGCCAGATTTGGACCGTAAGTGGATTCGGGCCTCTCTGTGATGTTTTCATGAACCTGTCCTTCTGTTGGCTTCCTTTTCTCCTTACAGCACTGTTCACCATATTTTCGATCGTACCTCCTGCAGCACTCACAAGAGGACTTCCTGAGCTGCTTTGAGGAGGTTCATGGAAATGTGTCTTTTACTATAATAAATATTTAAAGATTTGAACATTCACTCTATTTTCGATCACACCTCATATATAGAGCAGGAAGTGGGTGGGAAACAAAGAGTTAATTTAAAAAGCAAAGAAAACTGGAAATGCATTGATGAAGAAAAGTCCAGCAGGTCGGAAGGACTGGAACGTCAACAGAATTAGGTGAGAAAGGAGGATGGTCATGACGCGTGACTGGGAGCAACTTCTTTTAACCTCCGCTTGCTGCCTGGCCTGTAAGATGCAAGTGTGTGATGATGCAGCAGCAAGTACTCTTGTTCAATAACTTTTCAGTCACGATTTTCTTCTGATTGTAGAGTGCTAGAACCTACGCTTCGAGGGACAGGAGGCCAGTCACATAAACTCTTGCATGTTCGATGAGGAGACCCATGGTTTTGATGAAAATTTTGCTCATTTCTTCGTCCTCTACTTTAGTTGATGCTAAAGGATAGCTGCCTGTTTATCTTCGTTTTCAGTACACACACACACACACACACACACACACACACACTTCACTAACTGATGTCTCCCAAAAATCTCACGTAGAGCAGTGATGGCGAACCTTTTAGTGACAAGTGCCAAACTGCAACCAAAACTCACCTATTGCGAAGAGCCAACACTGCACTTAAACCTGATTACTGAAGTTTTAGTTTAGAACAAACAACTCCACATTAACATCTTTTGTCTTAAAAGAAAAATAGAATAACAAGCATGCCATAGCTCGCCACCACTGACCTAGACACTCCAAGGTCTATTGCTATTGTATTTCTCACAAGGAAGCTAAGGTTCCCCTGAACTTTAGTTGTTTCTCAGTGTGACAGTTGAGAGGTCTGTTTTGCATGTGGGAAATTAAACTGCTTTTTTTTTTTTTTAACCTAGATACACAGTACTGTTTGACAGTTCATCACTTCACCAGCCATGGCAGAAGTACCTCCATCACCAAAAAGTGTGCCTCCCAGAGTGAATGTCATTTTGTTGGGTGTCGCCACAGCCAAGATTCTGAACATACGGTAAAGATGGTTGCGCATGGGCCTGGGTAAAGTTGCTGTCTAAAATCACATGCTGGGGATGATTAGTTGTGCATCGTGGATAAACAATGTTGGGCATATTTGTACCTTGAGGAAAGGCACCACTACAGTGCCGCAATAGAGACTAAGAAGTTGAGGACGTTCTGTTCTTTGACAAGAAATAATATCACTAAAATAAATGATAATGGCCAGATTCCAGAGTTAGAGCCTAGAGTCTCAGTGAATGTTCTGAATCCAGCTCTGGTGGCTAAAGATAAACCATCCACTGGAGGATGATAAACACTACCGAGCCCTGGCTGGAGGTCACCAGGAGCACTGCACAGGCAAGCTAGAAGGTAGAAGGAGGGAAGTAGTGCCACATTTTACCAGGGAAACCTGGTCTCACCCACTCAGAGGAGGAAGTGAGGGTCTGACAGATTAGTCCCAGTTTAGTACAATGAACTACATTTTGGATATAGTTGAACTTTAATTTTCTTTGTCATTCTGAATGAATATTTTACTCTTTTATGTGCCTGGAATCCTCAAATGTTCAAGAATATAATTAGTTGAAAGCATATGAATTTCATGAAGTTTTAGAATCTGATTTAGCCTGTATGCACAGTAAATGGCCTTGACCTCCGTGGTTCTTAGCTCTGGCACCAGAAGGATCAACTGGGAAACCATTACCCGGTGTGGGTAGCAAGGTGGGTGAGCACAGCAGGCCCCTGAAACAACCTCAGGGAGAGGTCCTGGGCATCAGGTCTTTGAAGAAATTTCCTAAAGGTGAATCTGACGTGCAGCCAGGGCTGAGAACCACTGACGGCAGATGCTGAGGGTTGCCGGCTGTGTGCTGCGCAGTCATCCTGGGAGCCTCTGTGAATGGCTGGGCATTTCGGGTCAAGGATTGTTCCAGGTGTGTATTGGTACTGTGATAAGAGATTAATTCCCCTGGAAAATTCTCTGAAAATGTGATGTTAGAGACTCGGTCTTTTTTTTTTTTTTTCTTTTTTCTACCCCTTAGCAGTTGTAATTAGCAAACTGTCGCAGCAGTGATGATGGGAATCAGGTGCGAACACAGGCAATAGAGAATCGTTATTATTACCTAACAAGCAACACTGAGAGAGAAAATCAATGACTAATTCAGAAGGTTCTTAGCTTTCAATTTTCAGTGTTTTTCCTTACAAACCTCTGGAATATCTGGTGACTCAGTCAAACAGGCTTATTCAGTTTCCGCTCTTCCTGTCTGCCTTGCTTATGCTTGAGGCTGATGCAGATAAAGCGTGGTTAGGAAGGAAAGACTGTGAAGTGATTTTACCCTGAGATCCACTGCAGGGGAAAGGCCCAAAGGCCTGGTGACTGGCTAGTTTGCGCTAATGCACTGCCTCAGATGGAGATGAAGCAGTCTTTCATTTGCTTTTCTGTGCTTTAGCCATTCCTTCTTCCTGTCCTTCACCCTTTCTTTCTGCTTTCTTTCTGATAGGAATGCAGGTCTTGCTGTGAAGGGATGATCTGCAACGTAGAACTGCCCACCAACCACACGAACGCAGTCTTCGCGGTGATGCACGCGCAGAGGACGTCTGGCAGCAGTGCCACCATGCCCTCCCTGCCGGTGCTTGCCTGGGTCTTCATGCTTCTGTGGCTATGATGTCACCTTTCTTAGGAGAGGGAGAGCCCAGCCCTCTAAAGCACAAGGCAAAAACTGTAGGAGCACTGGAGTGAAGATCAGTCTTGTACTTGGTGAAGATGGAACATTGGACCCCAAAGCAGAAGCCCGTGATTTGCTTTGCAAAATTGCTCTTGCATGAGATCAGAGCACTGAGAATGGGGGCTTGGTAGGGACTGAAAGGACTGAGCCCCATGCTCCCTGGTCAAGGAGGGCTGCGTCCTGTCAGCTCTGCAGTGAGTATGTTGCCAGTATTGTTGACAGGTGACAATGGCCTGGCTGGTCCTGGCCTGACCAGGCCTTTAGCTGCAAAGACTTCCTGGCCTCACTGACTCCATCAAAGGCTACCCGGTCAGGTTTCTGTGGTTAGCTCTGAGTGTCTCTGTGCAGTCTTACCCAGTGGCAAGAGCAGTGTCTGCACTATGTTACACAGCCTGGGATTATCAACCCATAGAGTGAAAAGGTTTATCGTGGCTCACGGTTGTGAAGGTGTTGGTCCATGGTCTGGTGTTGCCTTTGGGCCTGTGGTGAGGCAGCACACACGGTAGGGAGTGTGGGGCAAAGCAGAAAGCCACCCTCCTCATGGTGTGACATGGAAGAAAAAGAGAAGAGGCCAGAGTCCCATAATCCCCTTTGAGAGTGGACCCCCAGTTACCTGAAACCATCCTCAGGCTCTACCTCCTCCCAGTGGCACCCATACTGGGGACCAGGCTTTAACACACGAGCCTTTGGGGGCCACTCCAGATCCAGACCACAGCACCCAGCAACAGTGTGGCCAGTGAGAAAGCCAACTGTTGGATTGAACTAGGTGAACTCCATTTGCCCGTTGTGAGGTGGGGTGGGGGGAATAAGGCTTTTCAATTACACAATGTAAATGCATGCTGTGTGTTTCTTGATTGACAGAGGCCTGCAACGAGACCCACCTACCAGTGTCACTGAACTTGAATTTCCATATACCGGGGTGATCTATGCTGGCTTAAAGAATAAAATTCTATGCCAAAGTGGCTCGGTTGTGTTCCTTTCCTAGGAAAGAATTTGGGGGAACTGAAATGGGAACTTCGTGAACTGAAGAGATCGGGAAGCTTCCCTGATCAAGGGGGAAAGACTTTATTACAGGATGTGCTCTCAAAAGCAGGGTGCTGATTAAAGGTGAAAAGAGTCCAGGTCTGAGACAATGGTAGGAGATGCCTCTGGCCTCCAGCCACCTTCTCCCTCAACGCCAAATCCACCGAGAGAACCTCTCTAAACACACGTGGAAATGCTCTACTCAGGGTCTCCTCCTTGTTCTCCTTTGTAACACAATTTTCAATGAATATCTTCTCTGTTTCTAGAATCCTGATTTCTTGCCCTCACATTTTGGGGTGACCTTTAAACACTGTGCCCTTGTATGTGTCCTGATGTGTTAGTTTTCTCCTCCTAACCATGCACTATTAGAATGCTAGCTGCAGGGTTGGAGATATAGCTCAGCGGCATAAGCACCTGCCTGGCAAGCGCAAGTTCCTGAGTTTGATTTCTGGTACAAAAAAAAAAGAATGCTTGCTGTGCTGTAGAACCCACTGATGACGCGATCCTGGCCACGTGGGCCCATCTGTTACATGGGTTGGAAAACTATGGCCCAAAAGTCAAAACTATCCCACGCTTTCTCATTGTAATAATGTTTCATTAGCGCACGGCCACAGCTACTCATGTGTGTGATGTCTGTGTCTGCTATAGCCACAGCGACATCGGGGTTGTGTAGATGCAGCGAAGACTCTGCGGTGTGAGAGTCTGAAAGCGTCACTCTCCAGCCCTCTGCATACAGAGTCAGCGGACCCCTAACCTGCGAGAAGATCACTGAAGGAGAAAGCTGCTTGCTTCGCAAGGGCTTGGTTCCAATAATGGATACTTAGCTTGGGCAGTGATTTTCAAGACTCTTCCTTTGTTTTCTTCATCTTCTGTGTCAGTGAATTCATCTTCTGTGTTTTGCTTGGTTGTTCCATTTATTCAGTTCTGTCTCTTGGTAATCATATGTTGATGTCAGATATTGGGCTGTATGGTGTTTGTCTCTTCTCATTCCTGATAAACTGGGAGCATCTCATCTTGCCGTTGGTTAGCTTCCCATAAAACCAGCATAGGGCAGACAAAATTATCTCCCTATCTTTGGCCCAACCTTAGACTCACCGGGAAGGACTGGTTTTGAAGCCTGATGTAGATTTATATCCCTTTTCACTCAGCACCTTAAAGTATTTGTGTTTCATAGCGTGCACTTGTTTGAGATTAATTATATGTGGCTTTCACTTGGAACATTTTAATAGCATCTTTGGTGTCTTTTCATTCCCCAGGGTTTCTTTTGACTGTGTAATTGACGAATTGTCTGGTAAAAAACCATTAGCAGACTGTAAATTTTTTTTCCTGATTTTGTTTCTGCTGTCTAGATTAATGAATCTCCCTCTCTCTCTTTACCCCTCTCTCTCCCCCTCCCTCTCTCTCTCTCTCTCCCTCTCTTTCTTTCTCTTTCTCCCTTCCTCCTTCTTTCTCTCCCTTTGTGTGAGTGTCTATGTATGTGTGTATTCTTTCCCAAGGAAACCTCTCAATTTTCTCTTCTTTCCACAGCATGTTAGGATGGGTTTCACGCCTCTCTACTTCCTTATGCATTTGAAGTAGTATTATGTTGTGCAAAGGAGTGAGTATGCAGCGGAAAAGCACTCCTGCCAAGGACAGCCCAGGGAGCAGGGGGTGCCGGATGTAAAAAATAAAAATATGGGATGCCACATTAAATTTGAGTTTTAGGTATATAACAGATAATTCTTTTCATGTAAGTCATTCATGACCTCAGAAGTTTAGCTAATCCAAGAAAATATTTTCAAGTCCTTGTCACAAATGAGAATCCTCTGGGTAACTTTATAAGAAAATAAATTCTCTGGGAATCCTGGAAATGTTGATTCAGCAGATCTGAGATGAAACCCAGTGTAACCCCCCAGTAACTGAGTGTTAAAACAACAAAACAGCTCTGCAAGCTTGTGCTGCCCAATCAGGTGTGTTACCTGTGACCTGAAATCATGGTTTCTTTTAAAGCATGGTCCTTGCCCATGACAGGAATGCTAATGAATAATGAATCTGTCTACAAGTATCCTGGGTTAGGACCCAGTTCGCAAACTGTGGTCCCAGACCAGCTCTACCAGCTTCCCTGGAAACATGTTAGAAATGCAGATTCTCAAATGTCATCCCAGACCCAGTGCATCAGAAACTAATGTCCAATCCATTCATTAACCAGGCTTCCAGATGCTTCTGATATATGCATAGGTTCCATTTTTTTTTTAACTAGCAAAGCGTATTTTTAATTTAATTTAATTTATTAGTTTATTTATTTGTACCAGGAATTGAACTCTGGACCTTGCACTTGCCAGGCAGGCACTGTGCCACTGAGCTATGTTCCTGGGGATGCATAGGTTCCTGAGCCACTGAGCCGGAGAAGTGCGTCCCAAATATCCACAGCAAGTGGGGCCTGGGAGGCTGCCTGCGCATCACCTGGGGAGCTGGTAGAAAAATTAGATTTCTGGACCCCCTAGCTCCACAAAGTCAGTTTCTTTATTTCTGGGGTGAACCCACAAAAATCTGTATTTTCAACAGACGATTCTGATACACAGCTGCTTTCGGAGCCACCAAACAAAAGAATAAAAGGTGGGGGGATGTTGGTGAAGAGGAGGTTCAGAGTCCTTAGCCTGGAAGCTTAATGTGTTAGGTTGACTGTTACTGCTCCAGTGTGATTTTGCTTTTTACCTTTTAATAGTAATGTTTCCAGTATACGATGTCCGTGTACCCCGTGTGGGGCTAGCACATGTAACCGCACATCTTCATTCCTATTTGCAGCCCCGTTCCCTTCCCTCCCCGCCTTCCTCCAGCACTCACTCCGCTTCCCCTTGAGAAAGATCTATCTCCTTATTTCCATTATCTGTCCTTTCTTTTTATTTATAATTTGGGTTTCCCATATAAGAGAAACTATGCTGTACTTAATCAAGTGTGTCTGACTTATTTCACTTAACATTAGGTCTCAGGGTGCATCCATTTTCCTACAAATGACTCAAGTTCATCTTTAGGGCAGAGTTATACTCCACTGTATAAATGCCACATGTAATTTTAAAACTAGAATTTAAAAGATTCAATCACTAGAGTCTAATGGATGGACTTTTTATTCCATGACATAGGACAGAAGAAGGCCAAAGAGCCAAGATCTCAGTCTAATTTAACTTCAGAAATTCCTACCACCGTTGTAGTAGTGGGGCAGAAAAGAAGAATATGTAGATATATTATTATAGAAGACACAAAGGGATTCACACAAGGAGAATTTGAAGAAATAGCTTGGCAAAGGTCTATTGTGGATAGATCGATATTCTAGAAGAAGCTTTGAGTTCTAATCTGTCCATTACAGGGGTCGGGGAGGTGGGGTAGCCTAACAAGTTTTTCCTCAGTAGTTCTCCATCTCTTCCTAAATCCAGCTCTGAGTGAAGTTAGAGTCAGAAATTACAGGCACTATTTTTCATACACTCTGCACCTTATCATGCTGGCCACTGGGAAGACTGTATTTCACAGGAAGAAGGAAGAAGATGAGAAACTATCAAGCCACATAAAATATGACATGAAAAATATTGTCTAGAGGTGAGTTGTGACATGAAATTGAGCACCTAGATTTTTAAAAAAATTTTTCCGGTACTGGGAATCAAACTCAGGACCTGTGCTTGTCAGGTAGGCGCTTGTGCTGCTGAACTATATCCCCAGCATGAAATTGAAAAAATCATTTCACATTTGTGAAACGACTTAACTCTTAGGCAGCATTCGTGTGACATGAAGATTGCCAGCTATTGAAAGGTTGCTTTGCCTCTGGGATTTTGGGCGTTTTTCATCTCATTGTTTGTGGCTGACTGTATGATCTGTAGAGGACTCATTGTCCCACTGGCCATATGACTGCAAATAATGCTAGAAGACAAAAGCTAGTAGATGCAGGAAGAAACTGGAAGACAAATGACTGTCAGGATGCAGGTGAGTCTGCCTGAGGTACAGTTCTGCCACTGGATACGAACAGTCCAGCATCTTCCTATCACACTTTCCCTTCATCTTCAGAGCTTCTCTTTCCCAGCCTGCTCCCTCACTGCCTTGACCTCCGTTCCATCAGGTGCTGAGGGTGGGAGTTGAGCTGACATTGGGCAATGCGGAGGGTAAGCTAACCATGGCTGGGCTGTGACAAACACAGCTTACATAGCTTGATGCCAGAAATACTATTTAGCAGGTCTGGACATCTGAATTTTACAAGCATCTGATTCTGATTAGTGGTTCTTCCATGGGTAGTCATAAAGGATCATTTTTAGAAACAATGACCCAGGGTCTCTGTAGCATGCAGGAAGAAACATTTCCTAAAACTGCACAAAAGGATTTCTTTTTAGCTCATGAAAGCCAGTCCCAGTTAAGGGTGCGGGATAATCCTGGAGGACACTGTGGCTGGACCCGAGGGTCATGCTGGGGGCGGACCTGAGAGGATGGAACATGTGGGCCCTTGGGAAGGAAGTCTGTGGCTCCTTCCCGGCAAGCAGACGCTCCATGTACTTGACCATCAGCTGCAGTCCTGGGAGCCATGGCCAAGCGAGGCAGAAAGAAGCAATGCACAGGACAAGGGGAGCCCATGCATCGGGTTAAGTGTGGATTAAATATCAGAGTCACTGTAAGTATTTTGCAAAAGAAAATAAGCAATGTGAGGCAAGAAGTTCCCGGAGACAGATATTCTGATAAAATTTCTGTGGTTGCCCAGCCATAGAAGACATCTTTTATAGAGTGCTGTAGTCGTGAGGTGACTTCACTGATGACTAGAGAAGCTCTGGCTTACTGTCCAGAGGGAGATGAGGTTGCTGGGTGGACTTAATCCAGTCATGATAGCTCCATACTCTGCTGTTCTTTTGGCTCTCACCTCCCTCATGTCCTTTGGTAACCGGATGGCTTCTGTGTGCCATATGCCTGCCTG